CGCCGCCGCCGCCTGGAGGAGGGCGACGGGCGGGGCCGGCCTCCCCTCCCCTCGCTGTCAGAGGCGCCACCCTGTCCCTCCCCCTCGTGAGGAGCTCCACGTCCTGCTCTCACCGACCTGGAGGTGCAGCCGCGTCACCCGGCCGGGACTCACGGGCCCCTGCGGGTCACAGCGCAGGCTGGGGACGCTGGACTGGGGGGCGGACACGGCACGGGTGACCGGGTGCCAGCCTTCCCGCTGCCGTGCAGCCCGTGGGCTAGGTCAAGGACCCGGCCTGGCTTAAGCAGTGGTCGGCAGGGGAGGACCCCGAGGAGCTGCTGAGCTCCCACCCCTCCCGCCGGGCCCGGGCAGCACTGTCCCTGGGCCTTGTCCCCTGCAGCTGCCGGGCACAGACACAGCCCTGGCTCTGGGGCTCCATCCGTGTGGGCAGCGCAGGGTCACCCACTGCAGAGCCACGTGACTTCCACACTAGCATGAGGCTGCTGCCTGCCGCCAGGATGGCCCTCGTGGCCCTGTCCCCACCTGCAGGGACAGATCCACAGTGTGAGCCTCCTGCTGGGAGTGAGGCCTGGAAATCACAGATGGGGCACACGGGGTGCTCCCCACAGCGGCAGAGAGGGGACTGAGGCAAGCAGCGTGTGGTCCGTGATTCTCACCCCTGAATGCTGTGAGGTTGCAAGGGGTGATCAGAAAACACATGACTGTTTAAATTGTAAAAATGTCACTAGGGTAAAAGACACTGCCATGAAGGCCCTCGAATTACTCCCCTGTGAACTCATCCCCCAGTCCTAGCCACTTTCCCAAGCAGCCCCTTGCTGAGTGCCTTTAGTTGTGCTGTCTGGGCTGCCTCAGTGTCCTGAGCTGACTCAAAATGTTGACTATCAAGGTCATTTTGACTTTGGGGAGGAGCCAGGAGACCCATGGTGCCCGACCCAGTGAAGAAGGTGGATGAGGACCCAGCGTTTTGTGTTCTCCAGCTGCCTTTCCACTGGGTGGTGCTCGCAGAACCTTTCATTATATTTTTGATCCCACCTCATAGACACTAACCTGCACTAGGCCACCCCAGGACCTGGCCTCCACTTGGGTCTCACTGACAGGAAACGGCCCCAAGGAGAATCGCAGCCGAGCTGGGTACCAGGACCGGCCAGCTCCCTTGCAGGTGTCCTGGCTCTGCCCTCCCACTGCCTCCGGGGCATCGGCCTCCCCTGGCTGTGTCCCTTCCTGCCCCGCCTCCCCAGGCCACTGGTCCCTCCAAGGCCCATCCTGTCCATGTCCCCAGCCCGGCCCCCACCGGCCTGGGGCCTGTGAGCGCACGGGATCATCCGGTGCCTCCTGAATCTGCCCTGCCTGCCTGCCGCCCCCAGGCTCCATCTCGCCGACAGCCTGGATATGGCCCTGCCGCACACAGCACCTCGCTCCTCTCTGCTCGCTGCCTCAGTCAGAACCCAGCAAGGTCACCTTTGGGGTTCCCAGGGCTTTTGTGTACCCATCCTCCCCTGGAATCCAGACCCCAACGCTACACCACCCAACAGACAGGCCGAAGCCGCCTTTGGAGAGGCCAGAAAGCAGCAGGGGCAGAGGGTCGAGACAGAGGCCAAGGAGCAGCCCCAGGAGGGCAGGACAGCTGTTCTGGCCAGGGCAGAGGAGGCGCCAAGAAGGGTACAGCCAGCCCCCACCAAGGAAGCAGTGGACAGACAGACAAGCGCCCTCTTCACACAGAGGTCACGGGGTTCCTCTACCCTGTGCCCAGATGCTGCCGCCAGCGACAGGAAGTGCACGGAGCACTTGAGAGAAAGGGCGCTTGTGTGGGCACAGAGAAAGGGCTGCGCCGCTGTCCCCAGCCCAGCCAGGACAATGGGCCTCTCTGCCTGGCCACTCTGCTCCCAGAGTGGACAGAGGGCCATCTGTGAGCAGCAGGACGGAGGGGGCAAGGCTGGGGGTCTGAGCCTGGGTGACAAAAATTCTCGGAAAGAAACGGGACGTGGGGGCAGGAGACGCACGGAAAGAAAACGGCGGGGACTGCAGGGTGGACTCACAGCGACCCGTCGTCTGTCGCAGGGGCCCTGGGCTGGCTGCTGTGGCATCTGAGTGCACACCCTGTCCTGGGTTCTGTGGCTCCCAGCCAGGGCCACCAGACTGCTCCAGCTGCCCGCGGTGGCACAGGAGGGCAGTGCGCAGATGCACAGCCGCCATGCAGCAGGCCTGTCTCACACGCAGGACGCGACCAGTGGACGAAGCCTGGCACTCATGAGGCCGGCCACTGCCAGCATCACAGCCAGTACCTGTCCTAAGCCACACGGCTGAGCAGCAGGAGGGACCAGCCGGACCCCAGAGGGAGGGCACCTTTCTACTGGGCAGGTGGGAAGCAGGTTGCCAGGGCAACCCTCTGGGGGCACGCTGCCTGGAGCCCTGAGAACTCCACAGCCGCTCTGCTGTCCCCCAGGCCAGGAGGTCACACGGAGATGCAGGCCTGAGACCTCGCGGGCGCCTGGGACCTGGCCCTTAATTACACACGTGAGCCCACGACTGCCTGTTTCAGGGAGCTTCCAAATTAGGAAGTGGAAGCTGAAAGCATTTTAAGACTGAACTACAATGGTTAACATCAAATTTTCAGAAAACAGCCGGGGATTTAGCACAGTGGTGCTGCCGCCTGCCTCGCAAGCGCAAGGACCCAAGTTCGATCCTCCTTGGTACCAAAAAAACAAACAAATTTTCAGAAAACAAAAGGCTTTAAGTTTTCCTCACTGGTCTGTAAGCTTTTTAAGCAGCTGGGCTTCCTAACCCCACCCCCAAAGTTCAGGAAACTCAGACTTCATTGAGATGAGGAAGGAACACGGCGAAGACACCTTTACGGGAACATGTGAGCTGTGGTGGTGCACACCTGAAGTCCCAGCACCCAGGAGGCTGAGGCAGGGGGGTCACACGTTTGAGCCCAGCTTGGACAACTACAGACTTCGCAAGGCCGCGTCTCAGAATAAAAGTAAGAGCTGAGAACGCAGCTCGGTGTGAAGGTCCTGGGTCCAAACTCCAGTACTGTAAACATGCACACGCACACACGCAAAGGAATCTATGGGCGAGATAAGTGTGTGGGGCCGGGAGCGTGTGTTCCGGCAGACCGTGCCCCTGGATCTGGGCATTATCGTGACAATTCTCTGTAGAGAGCCCCAGGCCTGAGGAAGCTGCCCCGTGACAGTAAGAAGTCCTTCCATGCACACAGTCCCCTTTGGAGTCTCCTGCTTTTCACAAAAGCTTTCACTTCACCCAGCTTCACTGCGATGCCCACTTCTGAGCGTGAAAGCTGCGCTCATCTTCCAGGAGTGGGTGCAGAGGCATCCACCTGTGCCTCAGGAGGACATCCGTGCCTGTGGTCCTCCTACTTGCCGTCTGCCGTCCGCGTGGGCAGCTGTGTGTGTCTGTGGTGACGCTTCTCCCAGGACCCAAGTCTCAGCGGTGCTGCTTAGGGTCCCGCTGACGCCTTCTCCTAGAGTTTCATGTCCCTGCCCACAATGCAGTGCTCACGCTGCCCTCCGCCCGGTGCCCTCCCATTTGCTCCGCCAGGTCTGACGCGGCCGCTGGCAGACTTTGTCCACTTGCTCTGGGCCACGGCCCCCGTGCGGCTCACTGTCCCTTGTGGCTCAGGCACGGCCAGTTCTTCCGCAGCTGCCTGGAGCACAGGTTCACACAGCTGTGCAGATGGACAAATGTGTCCGGAGAGGGGTTTCTTGCATACAATATGCAATTCCAGTTAGGAGCCAACGCAGCAGTCTGTCCTGTGGCCCAGGCCTGCAACGCCCGCACTCTGGAAGGCTAAGGCAGGAACGTCACCAATTCTAGCTGAGCCTGGGCAGTTTAGTGATTCAGGGAGGCCCCGTCTCAAAGGAGAAAGTTCAAAAGGGCTGGAGATGTGGCTCAGTGCCAAGGCCCTGGGTTGAATCCCCTGTACTGAAAAAAGAAAAAAAATGAAACAGGAAACTTGCCAATAAGAGATTGGAGAGTTTATATGTTATAAACTACTGTTGACAGATATGGAACATTTTCACTGTTAAACTGTTGAAGATTATCCCCAAATAAGGAACTACCAGGAAAAAAACCAGATTAGACATTCAAGTTGAAGATGATCACTCAAGGGGCCAGGGATTTAGCTCAGCGGTTCGGCCACCTGCCTCGCAAGCGCAAGGTCCCAAGTTCAATCCCTGGTATAAAAAAAAAAAAAGATAATCACTCAATAAAAGATCCACACTAACAATGCTAACTGGCAGGCAGGGGAGATGTTTATAATGTCTAAGACAAGCAAAGTGAAAATGTCCAAAATCTACCAGAAACTAGGAATGAAGCAGTAGTGAAGCTAGGGCAATGTTGCACTGTGGTCACTGCAGGGCCCAGGAGGACGCCCAGCCATGCGGAGGCTCAGAGCTTCAGACTGCGGGGTGCAGTGCTGCCCGGGGTGAGGAGGGCTAGGCACTCGGTGTGCAGGGACCGTGGTGGAACCAGGTGCAGCGGGCAGCTCGGTGGCCCAGACCCCAGCAACGTCCCCGGAAAGCCACCAGTGCTGCGCCAGGTTCACTGCAGGGGACCCTGGGCACGGCCCAGAGCTCTGGTGACCAAGGGCGACATCCTGTCACTGCCACGGGCTCCTGTGTTCCTCCAGCAGTGGCAGTGCTCCAAGACCTGGCCCGGGCACCAGGGAGTGTGACCAGCACAGTGGCCAGGCCCACTGTCCACCCACCAGGGGACCCTGGGCTGGGACCCGGAGCAGCCTCCAAGCTCAGCCAGGCCAGCGTCAGGCACACCCACTGGGGGCCTCGGGGCACCTGGGGACCTGAGCAGGACAGCGCAGACGGACAGCACCCTCACGAGTCACAACTCCCAGCGCCGCTCAAGCAAGCACATCCATCTTGAATGAGACAGAGCTTGGTCCAATGGAAGGGCACTGAGACACCGCCGGGCCGGGCCGGGCCGTGCATGTACCAGCTCCCCCCAGGAGCGTGACCATCATGTGCTGCAAACCTGCACTTCCAGGGCTAAAACAACCAAAAAGCACAAAACACAGATCACAGAAGACGCTCACAATACCGCGCTGACCACAAGCAGACGGGAGCAGAATGCCCGGCTTCCACATGGAGCCTCCGGAGGCTGCAAAGGGCCCATGGCAATCACCTCCTTGCTTCAGCATCTGCATTTGTGGCACAGAAGACAGGCGCAGGCTGGGGTGGTGGCTCAGCACCCACAGCACTCTGCCCAGTGCACCCTGGACCTGGGCGTGGGGCGAGCGGGTGGGACTCACCTTGCCAGGAGTTCTGGCCAGGTGCTGTCTTGTGTAAACGAGCAGGAAAGAAACGAGACACGGGAGGTGAGTGCCGGTATAACAGCTCCCAGGACTCTGCGTACCCCTGCCTGTCCTGTCTGACCCCTTCCCAACGCCCGCTGGGGACTCCCTGGCTTCGTGACCAGGGCTCCCTCGGCACAGTGTCCTACCTCAGTCACCGTTCAGCCCTGGTGACACAGGTGTGGTGAAATGCCTGAAACGTGTGCTTCACTTCTGCTGTCAGTCCCAGAGTGGAGTGAGAAATCTGCTGCCACTGTCAAGCTCCAGAGGAGTGGCCGAGTCCTCTGACCTCACACAGCCTGGCCCGCATGTCTCATCACAGAGCCATCCAGGCCCTACTGTCCCTCCACCCCAAGGGCCCTGAGCCTGGCCTCTGCAGACTGCAAGGAGCGGGTCTCAGGTGGAGGGCGGCTCTGGGTGCCAACCTGCAGGGATGGCCTCGGGCCTCGCTCCTGGGCCTCGCTCCTGGGCCTCGCTCCGGGCTGCTCTGCAGAGAGGTTCCATTTGCCGTCCTAAGCAGCACAGACCCTCCCTCCTCCCGGAGCAAGAACGGCGGACCTCTGCAGTGGCTCCCACATCTTCCACTCGGCCCGCTGATTGTCACATGACCCGGCTCCTCCCTCTGGAAGCCTCTTGTCTGGCAGCAGCCTTCAGGTTAAAGGCTGCAAAGAAAACCACTCTGACCACAGCCCTAGCCCTGGGCAGGGGAAGCACGGAGGCTTCTGCAGAAGAAAGCATGGGAAAGGACAGCAGCAGCATGGGGCCACCTTTATCGCCTAGCTCCCGAGAGGCAGACCGGAGGGGGACCCTAGCGCCAAGGGCCCGGGTCGGAGCAGCTCCGCGGCGGCCTTCACTCCGGGAACCCTGGCTGAGCAGAGCCCTGGATCACAGCTGTTCCCCAAACTGCTTGTCACAGACGCAGGGGTGGGGTCCTAAGGGGTCGAGGAGGGGGAGATGGGAGGGTCCCGAGCCAGAGGGCACCTGTGGGTGACGGACAGCCGTGACTTGGGGTGGAGTAGAGACCAGTACCACAGGGACATTCTCCGCCCGTCCGTCCACTCCTGGCCATCCCGGCCTTGTGTCCCCTTCCCCAAGGCGCCAGGCACACACAGACGGGACCTGTCGGGGTCCACGCACCCTGGCAGCAACTGGCCGGTCCCTCCTCTGTCCTGCAGACTCCGGGCAGCAGGGGGCTGAAGCCAAGGCCCCTGGGCTCCGCAGCCCCAGATTCAAGCCTGCCCCTGCCCCTGCGCCAGCCCCAGACCAGCCCGGTGACTGTGGGCCCTACCTCCTGTCACACCAGGAGACCCCGCTCTGGAGGACAGGCCCTCAGGGACACGACCCACATTCATGGGCACACAGTGGTCACACCCCGGCCCCTTTGGGACCCGCTCGCCCCTGCCCGGGGAGAGGCCTGGCACCAGCCCGCCCTCCACAGGCCGCCGCTGTCCCGGGTGGAGTGTGTCTCTGGCCCTCAAGGGTGGACACCCACCTGCAGCAAAGCCAGTGCAACACCGAGCCCAGGCCTGGCGGTGACAGCACCGAGGCTGCCTCTGCCTGGCAGCCACACTGTTCTGCTGTTCTCGCTTGCTAGGGACCAGGCCACATGGCATATGCACCCCAAAACCCAGGGCTGGAGCTCTCAGGTGCCTCCTGACCCTGCCCGGGAAGGGTGCAGTCACCTGAGGTGCCACACGCCCTGTGCTCCCGGGTTCTGAGGTCTGGCAGGCTTGCTGCTGGAGACGCTGTCCCCGAGGTTTGAGCTCCCCGACCCGCACTGCCTGGGCCAGGACCCCCGCCCCGCATAGAGCCCCCAGGGTCAGGGAAGCAAGGTGCTGTCCTCTCTCCTGCCTTGGCACCCCAGTGTCCCCCACGCCCTGGGTGGCACGTGGAGACCCCTGGCTGGGACCTCGCATCCCCACCTTGCTCCTGTCTCCCCCCGAGGTCACACCAGCATCACCAGGCCACAGGCAGCATGCACATCCCCGGCTGCCAGGGCCCCGCCGGCCAAGGGGACAGGCGGGGGCGCGTGGTGCCTGTGTGTGAGAAGCCCCGGCCACAGCCCGAGGCCCGACCATCGCTGACCCACAGGGAGACCCAGCCTGGCCCCAGGCGCACGCTCATCCCGCTCCCAGCAGCACAGGTTCCAGGAGCACAGGCGCCTTGCACACGCTTTATTTCACTCTGCACACAAGGACACACATACAAGGCTGTACAGCACTGATGCTCAGGATGTCAAAACCCAAGCATTAATAACCACAGGAACTGCACGTCAGGACGGCTGGCCTGCATGCTGCCTCGCACAGCTCCTCGGGAGTGAAGGGCCGCACGTGAGGACCGGTTGGTACTGGCTGGAGATTGACCAGGCGTCGGGGAGCGTCACTCGCACGTTAAGACACATCGAGGCTTTTACTTCAGTTCAAATCAGCCCAGCAGGACATGCCGGCAGGCTTCACCGCAGTGCGGTCCCCACCCACCCACAGATGTGGACAGAGTGTAAGGGATGTGACAGCAGAAACAGATTCAGATGCAACCGGAACATGTGCAGCTCCACTTTAACTCAAGTCATTGTCTTCCAATGAATAATAATGTTCCGGAGGAAAGGGGAAAGTTAAAAATTGGCATTTAACCTCAAAATAAAACTTTCTGTAAGCTAAGGAAAACATCTAAATTAAACACAGCCCGAAGGGCAGTGGGCTCACATTTGCCCTAAGATGCCACAAGGGATTGTGTTCTTGAGCTATCCTGACTTCAGCTCAGCGCGAAAGACCCTCAGAGACACCCAGGTTCCACATTTTGCAGGAAGTTTTCTGAGACCAGAACTACTAAGGCAACACCAGAAATGAAGAGAAGTGGAGCAGGTGATTCATTTCTTGCTTAAATATGTGTAGCAAAACTGCTAAGTTTTAACTAAGTTGCAAATGAATTTCCTCCGGGGCTTTCCTTCTCTGAAAGGCAAAGAGAGAGGGGCCACTGCGATGCAGAAATCGGATCAACCACACTCCAGACCCGGAGAGCTAGAGAGGCGAGTCCCGGGGTAGAGCGTGGCAGCAGACAGAAATCAGGACGCACGAAGCTCCCTCCTCGGGTCCCATGGCTGACAACCCAGTCACTGCTTGTCACCTTACCGGGAAGCTCAAGCTTCAGTGACATCATAGCCTCTCCTCCGGGGAACTGTGCTTTCAGACGTTCGGAGGTGCCAGTGTGCCGGGTCGGTTTTACAAGGACTGTGGTGGTGACACACGTGGGCCGGCCTCTTGGACTGGTCGCTGCCAGGCAGTCAGGAGTGTTTGCACCCCCACTGTCCCAGCAGGGCGGGCCAGACCCAGAGCAAGCTGAGCCGGCCAGCAGGTGGCGCATCTCAGCGATGCCACCTCCCCACGCGTCCAGCCCAGCACAGGGTGGATGCGGCTTTTCTGGTAGTTTGTCAAGTGCAAGCCTCGCTCCACACCCAGCGGCTGGCCCCAAAACAGAAGCAAGTCAGTTCTGTGACCTGTTAGGGCGGGCGCCTGGCTGTTGTTTTCGAAAGCCGTCACTATCTGGAAAAAGGATACACAGTATCCTACACGTTCTCACAATAGGCTGGCTGGTTGCCCATTAGTGACGATCCCTCCCTGCTCCTCAGATTCCGGGTGACAAGACCACAGCGGTCCCCGGGACTCGGGAGCCAGTTCCCCAGGAAGACCCGCTGTCTGCGGCAAAACTTTTCGGGGAAAGGACAGTGACAGGCAGCAATGCCACCTGGGCACAGTGCTGTGTGGTCAGCTCCAGCCTCTGCTCTCCTGGGGCTGCCCTTACTCGGGAGCCCGGTTTCAAGAGCGAGCATCACAGAAGGGCTCCTTGGTAAAGTCACAGTGACAGTACTTCATGGACTTAACATTTAAGGAGTGAAACTATTAGTCTGAACCCATTTCACATAGAACACTTTTAGCGTCAGTAATAAAATTCTACAGAAAAATGCACTACAATAGAAAACTCACACTTCCTGGAAACAGCATCACGGTTGCCTTTTGCTGTAAGTACTTCCACTCCCATTCTGCAGCATACTCCTGCAAAAGGCCGGCAGAGTCGGGCAATGAAGCCTGTTCCTCTTTCCGACGATGAGTGCCCGGCTTAGGAGAAGGTGGGCAGCCGAGAGGTCCCGGCTGAACCACAAATCCCACCCGGTCACGCCGGAAGCCATCTGATCACTTCTAAGCACACTTAGCGGAGACTTTCCACAACCATGAACTGCCTAAAAAGCGAAACCTCTTTCCCAATTTCTGCTGATTTGCAGACGGCAAAGCCTGCCACCAGGTTAACAGGCAAATCCCGCTCGAGTCTGAGCAATTTCACCTGTGTTCTCAGCGTGTCCTCTCAGCGAGTCCTCACCAATCAGAGCGAGAAGCGTACTGGATTTAGAACCCACACCACCGTGCCTGGTGGGGAGGCGTGTTCTGTCCTTAATCTTAGCAAACAGGAGTTTCTCCTGCACATATCTGAAGAGTAAAATGTCCTACCAAATGAGGAAACATCAACTCATTTATTTTCCATCCTTGCTCCTCCTCAAAGCAGAGTCTCCTGTCAGTTAGGGCGCCCACCTGCGAGTCACCCGGGCACCTTCCTCCCTGTGCTGCCCCCTGCCGCGCCCGCTGGGAATCCTGGGCCTAAAACCAAGCTCCCTCGTCAGAATCCCATACCCTCTAGCACACAGTTCACAAGTGGATGCAAATGTGTCTGTGCCACTTGATTTCAGGACGCCTTAACTTCCTCTGAAAAACAGCATTCCTTTCAGTGCCTCCTCCTGACTAACAGTGTGTGGAGCGGAGCGGCCGCCACCCTTCGGCAGACGTCGCTTCCTCACCACAGCCCCAAGTCCAATAGCAGGAGCATCCGGGTCCTCACCACAGCCCGCTCAGACCCGCCTCAGACAGGGCCCGCGTGTGCCCGCCAGGCTCCAGGTGCTCGGCACCACACTCACGCTGGTGACCAAGGACTTTACCACACAAGCTTGTCAGCTATCCTTCTCAAAGGTGCTGAGCCCACCAAACTTGAGCATGCAGCAGCAGCAAGAGCTTTTAACTAAATCACACAGCTCGTTAGGACCTCAGGACCTTTCGAGGCAGGGACGGTGGCCCTGAGCTAAATCCCTGGCCCTGTTATGATTTTAAACCTCAAACCAAAAGCAGAACAAAAAGCCAGAAACGTGACTGACTGCCCTGTGCACCAGGGTGGCGCGGCCGCTCGCCATGGAGTGGGGGCTCCCGGGTGCAGGTCCCGCCTCGCCTGCTCCCCACGCAGGAGAGCACCCCGCATAGGCATCCTGCGCCCCGAGTCAGGGCTGTCCGTACACATCCTGCACCTCACCTCGCAGGGCCCATTAAGCAAACGGAAGCAGAAAGGAATCCAGAAAAGGGAAATGGCGATGTTCCCAGCAGCATGGCCCAGGGTCGCCAGACCCGCGAAGCGTCTACCCCCAAAGCCGGCGTCTACACAGCAAGCCCCAGCGCCGGCAGGGCAGCCCTCCCCCGACCCCCTCTTCCCCGCCTTCCCGCCGGGACCCAGCCCTGGGCCTCTTTCTCTAGGTGGCCCCCTAGGCCGCGCCCTGCTCCCCGGGGTCCAGCTGCTCCTGCTCGGGTAGGTTGAGGACAAAAGGGACCAGCACGCCGCGCACGTCCAGGGCGCCCGCGAGGGGCTCAGGCTCGAAGCGGCCGCCGGGTTCGGCCTCGGGCTCGCCGTCGCGCGGGGGCACGAAGCGCCAGGTGCCCGCGCGGCCCACGCAGTAGATGTTGCCGTCCAAAGCGGCGCAGCGGAAGGACTGCAGGCTTGGCGCGCAGGGCTGTGGGCGCGGGGCGCACGGGCTCCACCGCTTAGCCAGGCAGTGGTAGCGCCACACGCTGACGGCCCCCTGCCCGGCCGCCCCCAGGTCGAAGCGGTAGAGGAAGCCGTCGAGGGCCACCATGTCGGCCGAGCGCTCCCGGCTGCGGCTGCACGGGCACTCGAGCCACTCGTCGCGCCGTGGGTCGTACTTGAGCAAGCGGTAGAAGAGCGAGCCGCCGGACACGTAGATCTCGCCGTTGCAGGCGGCCGCCTCGTGCGCCACAGCGAAGGCGCCCCGGGGCAGCGGTGCCACGGCGGCCCAGCGGTCGGCGCGCGGGTCGTAGCGCTCCACGCTGAGCAGGCACTCGCCGCCCACGGCGTACAGGTGGCCGTCCAGGGCCAGCAGCTGCAGCTGCGAGCGCGCCTGGCGCAGCGGGCCGACGGCGGCCCAGCGATCGGTGGCAGGGTTGTAGCGGAAGACGCGGTCCGAGGGGCGCACGCGGCCATCGGGGCCCGCGGGGAGCACGCCTCCCGCCACGAAGAGGTAGTTGTAGAGCACGCACAGGGCGCAGCCGCGCGCCGCCGCGCCCTCGGGCAGCCGCGTAAGCTCGAGCCAGCCGCCGGCCTCGGGGGCCAGGCGATAGACGGCCGCGTCCCCTCGCGCGTCCGCGTCCCCGGAAGGGCTCTGAGGGCGGCTCCCCGCGCGCTCCCCCGCAGGCCCGGGCGCCAGCGCGGCGGCCAGCAGGCGAGGCCGGCCCCCCCGCAGGCGGCGGCGAAGCAGCAGGTCGCGCTCAGCGCCCGACAGGCGCCCGAAGACGGCGGGCTCGCGGAGGACCTCCAAGTACCGGTCGCTCATGAAGCGGTAGGCGGCGTCGCGCAGCTCGGCCAGCCGCTGCCGCTTGGCCGCGCTCAGCACCTCGTAGCAGTTGTCCAGGCTCAGCTGCGGCCCCACGGCGTCGGTGGCGCGCTGCGCGGCCCCGGGCAGCTGCAGGCGGCGCGCCCCGGCCACCACCTCGGCCACGTTGTCGGGGCGCACGCCCGCCATGCGCCCTCCGTACGCGTCGGCCAGCAGCAGGCGCAGCGCCTCCGCGCTCACGCCCTGCACGCGCAGCACGTCCCGCGACGCGCGCGCACGGAAGAAGTCGCTGCGCGCGGCCAGCACTGCCTTGTGCGCGCGCAGCCGGCAGCCGCACACCTCGAGGACCAGGTCGGGCTCCCCGTGCGCGGACTCGACGCCGGGGGGCACGGGAGGGGGCTCCCCGAGCTCCTCTAGGGACTCCGCGGGCTCTTCCTGGCGCGTGCGCGGCTCGGGGGTCTCGGGCTCCTCCGGGGTCACGAGCTCTTCCGGGCGTGCAGGGTCCTCCGGGGTCGCGGGGTCTTCAGGCGACGCGGTCTCCCCCGTGGACGCAGCGCCCGCGCTGCTGGCCACCCACTGTGTCTCCACCACGCGCGAGGGCGGGCAGGCCCCGGGGTCCTGTTCAGCGGCCGCGGCGGCGCGCGACTGGGGCGGGGACTCGTCCCCAGAGCTAAAGCACAGAGACGCGCGCAGGCTGCAGGGTGTCTGTGCGGGCGACGGGGACGCAGACGCAGCGCCCTCCCCTGCGGCCGCGTCCGGCGGAGGCAGGCTGCCCTCTCCCGGCGCCCCGCGCGCGCGGTCCTCTCCTGGGTAGAGGATGCAGGGGGCTACGGAGTTCTCCATGGCCAGCCTAGTCCTGCCGCCTCCGGGTCTCGGCTTTTCACGGTTTCCTGGCAGGAGATCAGGTTTCACTTCTGTCCACACTGTTTCCTCCCCTGCTCAGCCGAGCCCTTCCCTCTCAGCCGTCCTTGGAGGAGGGCGTGCCGGGCGCTCCTGGGGTGTTGGCACAGGGCTGGCCCCATAGACTGTGCCTTGTGGAACTCATTAAGGCAAAGGTCAGTCACAGGAGGGTATCGGCTGGTCCTCTGGGCCCTCCCCACTCAGGTCCCCTGGGGAGACCCACACTGCCCCCGCCAGGTGGTGCCAGGAAGTGGTCCCTGCGAGCCTCTGCAGCCTTCCTCCTGTCGGCAGGAGCCTTCTGACTTCCCCTGTCAGGCAGCAGTGTTTCCGCACCATTCATGTCTTCTTCCTGTTTGTAGGAGAAAAAGAGATGTGAATTTGCACTGTTCCCTCGGCACGTGCTGTGGCGTCCACAGAACCTACCAATCCCCCAACCCGGGTCCCAAAGTGCGGGCGCAGTTCTGGCGGTCAGGGCCGCGGTGGGTTTTTGCTGCTGGCCAGCTTGGTCACCCGGATGTGCAGAGCTCTGGGGTGTTTCCAGGGTCCCGTCCCCTTTTCTCTCCTAACGCAGGGGACTAGGAAGGAGAGCTGGGTGCCGAGAGACACTGCCCAACGTGGCCTCTCAGACAGTAGGTGGAGCAGAACAAAACTGCTTGTTCTGTGGGCCAGGAGCAGTCAGGGGGCCGCAGCTTCCCATTGTCCGCCAGCACAGGTCAGGTGGAGTCAGGGGCTCCTTGGTGAGGCTCTGAGGCTGGGCTGTGGTCTGTTACGTGTGACAGCCTTTCGGGCTCTCCTCCCTACATCAAGCATTTGTGGGGAGGCGTGGGGCACCTCACTGCCACTGCCATGGTGAGGACCCCAGGGGCTGCAGCCCCTGTGCTTGTCCGGTGCCTCCTGGGACTTCTCTGCGAGCGTCAGAACGCGGTTGCCCGGCCACCTGGTGTTGCAGAAGAAAAGCCAACGCGGAGGCAGAGCAGCCTGTGGAACATGCTGTGCGGGCAGCGTCCAGGGGCCCTTTGCAGTCACCTGGAGCTCCGGGCTGGTGTGTGAACTCAGCTGTGACTAACCCGATGTGGCCCGTCCAGCATCAGTGGCAGGGAGCCCAAGCCCGGGACAGACAAGGATTCGAGGACGCTGTGAACCTAGGAGATGGGGTGCAGGGTGCTGGGAGCGCTGCGCTGTGGCTCACTGCGGCCAGGCCTAACTCGCCTCCTCTCTCGGACGAGGCAGGGCCCCGCGTGGAACCAGGAACTTGCATCTTGTTCGCTTCCTCCCGAGCAGGAGGCAGGGCCCCGAGGGAGGAGAACAGGCGACCAGAGGCCGTGGTGGAGCAAGGCTGAGAAGAGGGTTGGTCCTGCCGGCCCAGTCGCCAGAGAGCCATCAAGCCCGATGTGCTGCAGACCTTGGCTGCTCTCCTGGCCCGGTTACAGACCAGCCCCTTTACCTGCCCCTGTGCTTCCCTCACCTCTGCCACTACCCTGCCATTTGCGGGGAAGTCGTTTCCTCCCAGCAGGAGGGACAGCCGCACCTGGCCGCACCTATACCTTATCATATCTGTCTGTCTTGATCTCTCACCGTCGTGTCTCACTCCGGGAACCCTTCAGCCACACGGGCCGTGCCAGGTACCCTGGGCTTCAGGGCCCTCCGCCAGTGGTGTCCTCGAAGGGACAGAGCCTGAAGTGGGACGTACCTGCAAGTCTCATCGGGACACAGGACCCTTAACAGTGGGCCACTCACGCTGCTCACTCTGTTAACACGGCTTCGGGAACACCGGAGACCAGGGGCCTTAGAACTCACACAGGACCCTTTTCCTTTCTTTGATCCAGCCAGGGTCTCAGAACGTCCCTGCTCTCTCTGGCTGACGGTCGCTGGGCCACGCAGAAGCCAGCCTCGCTCATCTTGGTGGCCCACCACAGCCTGCAGGGAGCCAGCAGAGGAGCAGGCTGCAGGCTCAACCCTGGACCGCCACCCTGGACCCTGCAGACTCGGATGAGAGCTGGGGGAGTCCTCTCGGTAGCCATGTTTTCTGCTGCAATGGCCACTGGGCAGAGCTGTGTCCCAGGCTGCCGGGGGTAGATGGGAGGAAGGGCAGAGCTCAGCCACCTCCCAAACGTGCCTGCCAAGTCCCTCACCATGGCTCGCAGTGGTGTTTTTGAGGCGTGGCCCAGCAGACGTGGCTTTACCCTGTCCTGTGAAGGAGGCGGAGTCCACGGCCTGGGCAAGGCCCAGCTGTGCAGTCTCCTGGTGCCGATCCGAGAGACTGGGACCATCCGCACACAATCCCCAAGCAGGGACCAGGGCCTGTCCACCATTACACAAAGCTGGCTGTGCACACACCAGTGCAGGCCCATCCCGAGATCTGCAGCGACCATGTGCTTCAGGGCCAAGCGGCCTTGGGCAGGCCTGCACTTCTAAAAGCTGCTTCCTGGTTCAGGTGCCCTGCAGAAGAGGCTGCCCACGATCTTGATGGCACCTCTCCCAGCTCTGGGGTGACTGCTCGTGATTCACCTTAACAAGACAGAGGAGCCGTGTGTCTAACCATCTTGAGGTGTGGGGGTCCAGCCTGAGCCTCCTGGACGTCCAGAAGCGAGCTCTGAACCTGCCGTGCGTCACACTGAATACTTGAAATAGCCATGCTTCTTCCTAACCCTAAGCCACAGCAGCCTGAAGAAGTTATGTAAGATTCTGCCAGGCGTGGTGGCGCACGCCTCTGTTGCCAGCACTCGGGAGCCCGGGGCAGGAGGCCAGCCTGAGCTATATAGTGAGTTCAAAGCCAGCCTGAGCTAATAACAAGACCCTGTCTCAAAAAACAAAAACAAAACAAGTTATGGAAGATTTAAACACAGAACAATACAGCACCGCTTTCTGTCAAAGAAGTTCTGGGTGTCAGCCACTCTGCTAAGACCCTGGAGAGGGAGCCAGGGACTTCCAGAGGGTTCCCCTGTTCTGCAGGTGACTCTGGGATCCGTTTTCCCAAGAGGCTCTGCCCATCCTGTGACTCAGTGACCGGCACTCCCTGGCTGATCGTGGCATTTGGGAGGATTCTCTTCCTGAGTGAGGCTCGCTGTGTCCCCAGCACACTTTCGGCGTTGGGGAGACTGGACTGCAACACAGGTGCTGCTGGAGGGGTCCTTCCTCACTGCAGTCAGCAGCTGTGAGCGCAGCGGTGATGAGATGTAACCTGAGTGGCGTTTCTCCCCACAGGACACATTTCCTCTGGGCCTCATATAAAATGCCTGAAGAAAAAAGGCTCTGTAAAGTTCCTGTTTCTCCACTCTTCATATGAGTTAAAAACAAGACTAGCGTATGATTTCCTTACATACACATTAGCTTATATATTTAATGTGGACATTAGCACATTCAAAATTAAATGCCATACTTCATTATGGTAACACCAGGTGCTAAAGATAATCTTCCTTTCAGGCAGCTGCAACAGCCTAATTCTGTCGGCAGCCTTTGGAGGCTTAGGTGAACCCTGGATGCAGGTGCTTCCAGACCAGCCCTTCCCCAGGCCCAGAATTCATGTGGCCAGTCAAGAGCCAATACATTAGGAGGTTGAGGAAGAAAAAGCAAGAAATGTGGCAAACATAAGAAAGCCTAGCCTTAGACACTTCGCGGACACTCAGGACCGATGTTTGCACGAAGACTGTGGCGGTCTGCGTTCAGCTGTGCACAAAGCGCGGTGCTGAGTTCAGCACTACCCTGGGCCCAAAGGAGGGGCTGGCGCTGCTGCCATGTGTGATGGCACGGGACGGGACCCCGGAGCCTGGAGAGGGGACCGCCACCCGGGCCCGCACCTGCCCCACTCCGGAGCCCGGAGCAAGGCTTGGGAGGACATCGGACACCGGCCAGCCAGGAGGAAGTGCGCTAGGAGGGAGTTTGCAGTTTGGAGTGACCGCCACCCAGCAAGGACCCTGCTGGTCCGGAGGACGTGCACGGCCTCTGGGGTCAAGGACAGCTCAGCAGGGAGACCCCCCACTTCCCCCAGGGTGCCTCGGGATTGTGTTGAGTGACTAAATGGGAAGTGGCGTCCCGTTTATCAGGGGACGCTGATGAGTCTTCCCCCAGCACGCGCAGCCTACGTCTCCCACCTGCTGCTCTCGAAGGGTGTTCTAAGCCCGGACGGGGGACATGACCGGTGACGCTGCTCTGCCAGGCCCCCATGTTCCTCTGTGTCACCCTCTGGGCCTGGCAGCCCCTCTGCTAGGCGGGTGCCCCCCAGCCCATCCGGAGACGCAGTGAGACAGGAGTCGCTGCCCGCTGTCTGAGCAGCCGGGGTGCTGCCTTCACCGAGTTACTGGCAGGCTCAGGAGGTCACGTGTGCTGGGAGCGCCTCACCGGAGAAGCGGGCCGAGTGTCCCCAGGCAGAGCAGTGTGCACAGGGGTCCTCACAGCCCTGCCCTTGCGCGTCCTATCTCCTGCGGGGGTTCCACCCTCCAGCCCCTGCCCCCAGGGCCCCCGGCCAGTCCCACTTCCCAAGGTCCTCTATGAACCCAGAGGTGCGGGCGGCACTTGCTTTCCCCTGGGCGCAGGAATCCTGGGGTCACTTGTCACTGCTGTCTCCAAACACCCCACCCTGCAATAGGGCTCACTCCTGCTCTACTGCAAAGCCACTGCTGGGCGTGAGCACTGTCCCCAAGGTCAGCCTGCGGGGAGCGTCCAAGGCCAGGCAGCAATCCTGGACGGTCGCCTAGGTGAAGAACAGGTCCTGCAGGAGACCAGCTTGAAACTGCACTAAGAAGCTTTAGATGTTATTGATTTGGCTTATAAATTCGGACACTGTTTAGGGTTATGAGCCACTCCAAGGCCTCAGTGTGAATTGCTAACTGACCTTTTGGCTGGTGTACAGAGACAGAGTTCGTATGCCAAAGGTCACAACTGAGGGCTCAGTGATCAACGAGGCTGAGACGTCTCTAACAGCAAGGAAACACTGCAGCTGAGGAATTATGGCTCTGTGCAGCCATTCTCCAAGATAAAACGTTACCTAAGATAACACAGGTGGCTCGTTAGCTATGACCTGCAAGGCAGCACAGGTGGTTTGTTAACTGACCTGGCCTTCACCAGTACACACAGTTACTCCCTTTTTCAAGCCTGGCTCATGAAGTACATTAGTTCTCCTATTCCCTACATCTGCCTTCACGCCCCCTTGCTACATTGTATAATCATAAATCCTGACTAATCCAGCGCTCATGGTTTTAGCCAGGAGAGAGCTAAGATCCATTATCATTCATTATTCTTTATTCCTTGTTCTTCATATATTATTCTTTGATCCCTGCTGTCCCCTGGTCAGTGACTGGGAGTCCCCCAGTGACTGGTCAGGCTATCAACCTGACCACGGGTAGGGCCATC